ATTACTTGTGGATTATTGTGATGTTTTTATCAGCTGTTTGGACTCTCATTCTGACGGCACCCATTCACTGCAGAGGATCCATTGGTTGAGCAAGTGATGTAGTGCTACATTTCTCCAAATCTGATGAAGAAACAAACTCATCTGCATCTTGGATGACCTTTAAGTGTTTAACATGTGAAGAGTTTTTAAATCTGAACTGATTGGAAATGTTATCCAAGCAAAAGGCAGCTGCCTTAGTGGTTTAGCACACTGAATCCAGTGATGAATATTGTTTACATCTACGAGTTTTGTACTGGCTTGTTTCGTCTGGTCATGTTTAGTAACTCTCGCTTTTCCATAATTAATCATTTCTGGAGTTAAGAACACGTGCATGTGAATCTCAGATTGTACTTTGGCTGAATCCTCCGCATCAATCAATAACACTGACTTCCTCTTCAATGATTCTTTCCATATACAAATCACTATTTTTTTTTTTACTTTTCTTCGTTCATTTTTCCATCTCCTCCTCTCTGTCTCTCGTCCCTTTGTGCGTTCATAATTATTTTGTTTTCCTCTCCTTCGAGCATCTGTTATTAAACCTCAACCACAGGAGCAGTAGAATGTTTTCACGATCATTTGGACCAATCACAACCCAGCTTTGTGCCATGCATTTTGACCAATGTTCAGCATGAATGTCATTGCTTTCGTTTATCATTTCTGAAAATAGTAGCATGTTATTTTGTTTTCAAACACACGCATTGCATTGATCAGAAATAATGAGAAAACTGTGATATGATGGAGGGAAAGAAAAACATTTTAAATGGTATTTTAAAGAGTAAATATTTCAAAAGTTTGGGTATGATGAATTTTCTTTTTGCTTTTATGCATGCATTAAATTGATCAAAAGTGAGAGAAAAGACATTTATAATGTTACAAAACATTTCTATTTCAAATAAATGCTGTTCTTTTTAACTTTATATCCTGAAAAAAATAAATCAAAGTTTTCACCAAAATTTTAGAGTTTTTAACATGGATGAAAATCAGCATATCAGAATGATTTCTGAAGGATCATGTGACTCTGAAGACTGGAGCAATGATGCTGAAAATTCAGCTTTGCATCACAGAAATAAATTACATTTTAAAATGTAGCCAAATAGAAAACGGGTATTTTAAATGATAATAATATTTCACAATATTTCTGTTTTTATTGCATTTTTTGATCAAATTAATGCACCCTTGGTGAGCAGAAGAAACTTCTATCAAAAACATTAAAAATGTATTTACTTTAATAAATATGCAGAGCATGTAAGGTGATTTTAGGTTACACTGTGGGCCACCTTTTGAAACTTAGATGACAAACAGTGTCAGAAGTATCTGAATATTTCCTAATTAACCCTTTATTTTATTGTTTAACAATAAATAGTATTATAAGAGGCAATTACACATATTAATTGTACCACAAATTGGGTTTTGGTCTCAAAAATCCCCATTATATTTCAAAATAATACAATGCATTGGTTGACGGATAGATCTGTCTCTCTGTGTTATGTTGATAAATATGTGTGTGAGTGTGATGTTTGCTCTTGTGTGTCTGTGCATGCTTGGATGGCTGTTCATCAATCTCTCGTTTGAAGCGTTATGATGGATGGATGAGGAGGCAGCAGGGATTTCTGGCATGCATCTGTATTGTGCATTGTGTGTAAACGTGGCTCCTGCTGTATGTGTGGTGTGTATGTATGTTCCCTGTGCATTTGTGAAGATCCATAATCCTGCTGAATGATCGGGGCTTTGATGAACATATGAGAGCCAAGGAATGTGTGCTGGTGTGTCCCGGCATGTAACGGAGAGAGATGGAGAGAAGACGTCTGCCATAAAGAGTCAAAGAGTGCATTATGAAAGCTGTACTGTATATGGCATAATCCAATCACTAATATCTGCCATGTGTGTGTGTGTGTGTGTGTGTTTAGACAATGATGGTTTGGACTCAGCCTTATACCATCTGAAACTCATAAGCATTCTCCTTTTCCAATTTCCACAAACAGAGCTGAACACAATACAAATTATGATTTAAGTGTTATTGTTTTTAGTCTCTTTGATTTCTGCTTTTAATTGAATTGAATTGAATTTAGTTTAATTTGGTTTATTTTAAATTATTTTATTTTATAATTTAGTTTTGAAAATATTGCTACAAAGTCAGTTTGTTCCATGCACTTACATGAGCAATTTTATAATTAATAATAAAAAAGTCTTTATAGTTGTTATTAATTTCTATGTATTAGTTTCAGTTTATTTAGTGCATTAAGTGTAATGTGTAATGTAATGTAGTTATATACAGTATATATATATAATCCTAAACTATTTATTTCGGCTGCATTTCTCGTTTTCATTAAGTTACACTTAATGCACTAAATAATCTGAAACTAATAAATAGAAATTATTAAAAACTATATAGACATTTTAAAAAACAAACTAATAAAAATTACAAAAATGACTAAATTACTAAAAATTGAACTAAAGTTAAAGTGAAAACAGAACATAAAAATAAGATCAAATTCAGTAGATGAAAATACAAATCAAATCAAATCGAATTTAATAGATGAAAAACAAACAAAAAACTATTTTTTTACTATTTAAAAAAAAAGGCTTTTAATTAAAACTTTTTAGTTAAAAGGCAACTAACTTAAAATATGTTTAAGTTGAAGTACTAAAATAATTCAAACAGAAATAAAAATGACAAAAAAACAAAAAAATGACAAAAGCACATAACAAAATTTCTAAACGTAAACGGCCATACATAAAAAAGTCTGTAAAAATAGGACCCAGTGTGCTGTGTTAATATGAAGGATTTTTAAAATTGATTTTTCATGTCTTTGCATTATGTCATGTTTTAGGGTTAAGGGAAATATAGGCTACACATTTTCTGTTTTTAGGGATATTTTTCTTACAGAGTAAAATTAAATTGAAAGCTGAAAATGTACAACAAGAAGAGTTAACTATTCAAAATATTAATAAATACCATAATAGTATATAAATAATAATAAGATGTTCAGAACTCCTTTAACAATCACATAGAAATGCAGCATTATGAAAGTAACTCGGGCAAGCATCACTTCTTCAGGTATGTATTTCCTTTAAAAAAGGTAACAGCAAACTAAATGTTTTATTAATCTAAAGCCAATTATAGTTCCATTTGATGTTTAGCGAGTCTTAATTTTGGCCCTTTTGTCCGTGTGTGTGTGTGTGTGTTTTGCAGGCCCCGCTGGCTCACGGACACCCTGCACAAAAGAAGCTGCATTCTTCACATTCCCGTAACCTGAGGTGAAGTGAGACATCACTGGAGCTCTATGAGTTGGGGATTCTGTCAACACGTCATTCTGTACTGTAAACCTGAGCACCGCTGGCACACTTACAGTCAACACAAAATCAAAATTCATGTCATTTACTTTCTCAGTAACATTCCGGGTCTTACTGCGCGTGATTGATTAGTTGTTCCAAAGAAAGAAAATGTTAGTCTTTGTAGTCATTCATCAAATGCTCCACCTCTTAAACGACTTTCCTTTTCAATTTTTTTTTTTGCAAATATATTTCATAATATACAAAAATGTCCATAAAATATATTTACATAAATATATTTTCTAACAATATATTTTTGTACGTTTTGTATATTGTTTAAAAATATACATTGCACAACTGAATAAATATAATTAATGAATACAGCCTCAATTAATTTATTTTCTTGTCCCTGAAATACATTTTGAAATATATATTTTGACATATGAAGGTACAATTTTTATTTAATTATCATTTATTTAAATTAAAATTGTACATTTCAACATATTTGAGCATATATTTAAAATATGTATTGGTCAGAATTAATTAATTAATTAATTTATTTATTGTCACATGGGCCACTCAGTTCCCAAAGGACAAAATGAATATTCTTGCCATATTATTGCTATATGTTTCAGTATTAGATCTCATATACTCATGAACTTTTTTCCTCCTCTTCTCTAGCTTGTTTATTAACATGTCTACTAAACCTGGCAATATATATTATGAATATTGTTGGCTCTTTGAAATTATTTTGTCAGTTGCTTTGCATAAAAGCATAAGTGTGCATGTAATACTCTGCAATAAGTCTCATTATGTATGTGATGTGGGTTGCAAATGGCTATTCACATTGGCTTTATGTTGACTTAATACACTAACCAAGGCTATACTGATTACACCCAGTTTTATGGTTAGTATTTAGATTTAATACAAGCCAAAGAAGATTTTCTATATCTATTAACTTAAACAAGACTGCAGCTGAGTTTGTCATAATATTGCACCTCTTTTATCTACTTTTAAATCTACATTTCTGCATTTATTTAAAAATTGATTAATTGATTTATATAGGAAGTAACCAGTTTCATTTTGTTGTACATGTAACCTGAACAGGATTCCCGTCCCTGCTGTACATTCGGACCCGTGTCGAAAGGTCATCACCCTTGTGGCCTTGTGTGCTCCAGCTGTCGCATACGTCAGGAGCTCCTGAATCGTTTCAGCCCTAAAATAGCCTGCAAACTTTAATTTTAGGACCGACTTGGAATAACCCTGGGCTCCCATTCACAGCACTGTTCCTATGCTAGAACAGTTCACGAGGCAAAGTAAGACAACATGATTCATTTACAGGGAATATTGGTATCTAATCAATATTTCAGGTGCATTTACTCATTTATTTTAGTAAGCAGGCATGTTGCAAGCAATCAGATTATCATTATTGTAAAAATAAACCCCTTCTGGGTTATACAAAACCCATTTTAAGTTATATATGTTCAGCCTTTTTGATGCCAGACACATAAAGAACTGTTTTTTTCTCCATTATTTATTTAGGACATTATATTAACAAAGGTCCTTTAACTGGAAAATTGCCCTAAAGGTTTTCTGCTGCTACACCCATTAAATTAGATGAGTAAAAAAATACTAAAAGACAGACTGCAATGGACTTAATTCTTGCAGACAAAAAGAGAGAGAGAGAGTAAATGAAGTCCCACACTGTATACTTCCCGCCTACCCACAGCACTAACCAATCAGAAGCCGCGCATTGTCGGCGCTGCTCTCCGATTGGCCGCTAGCCGCATGACTGACAGTCCGTGTGAATGAAGTTTTTTCCCACTTTGGCTCCGCGAAGTTTCAGTGACGGGGGCATCACTGCAGCGCACTGAAGGGAAGGAAAGAACAGAAGGGAAAAGAAGGGAGAGAGGTGCCCCATCCATCCATCCATCTATCCATCCACTGAATGTTCCCGCAGGACTTTATTAACGTATGGCTGCATGAGAGGCTTTGAGCTGTCGCGGTTTCTCTCTCCAGGACTGTTGGGTTACTGGTTCTGTCCTGAGTTTAAGCAGTTGTCATAATAATATAACCGAACTCTTCGCGTCAGGACGGGCGCAGGTGGTCATGGATACACCTATCAGATGGAAAGTAAAGCGGAGGTTTAAGGAGGTGCGGCTGTCGGTACTCCTAGTATTCCTGATGTTTGTCACCTCACGAGTCAGCGCAGGTAAGCGGCGAATCAACTGTTTCCAAACTGTTACTTTGTGCCGCGGTCCGCGCTCACCAGGGGCTGCGCTTCTCCACGGTCAGTCCGCTGTCCCTGGACTGCAGTGACCGCAGGAGGGGATGGTAGGGGCCCTAGAGTGAGATTTTTCAACTAGGGACGTCCGGAGTTCCGTTTTTGCAGGGAAACGTTAGAGCAGCGGCGAATAACGGAATCAGGGACGTTTTCCCGTTCAATGGAACTGCTGCGTGAGGAGATCGTGATGCATCATCTATTGTGGCATGCAACTGGTTTACGCTGCTCCCAGTTGGTGTACCACTCACTATTCTAATGCACATTAGTAAATAAAACCGTCATAGTAGAAATCCGGATTCCAGGATTTCATATGCAAATCTAAAAAAGGTTCCTCAGTTGTTCTATGCGACTGTTTACTAGGGTTCTTGATATTGCATTATAAGTTCTTCACTTCATGGTATTGGTTTTGGCATCTGCAAAGCATCATAGATGGTTTAGTTTTCTAAAAGTAGAGATTAAAAAGTCATAGGTGGAACTTTTAAACCTTTCAGTTAGAATCAATGTCACAGGAGAACCTTCTGAAGTTCCTTTAGAAAGCCATTTATGTAGTGATTCTTCACCAGAACCCAGAATCTGAAGAACCTAAACTCTATACAGCCAAATGATCCTTTGCTGAATCTCAAAGACTTCATGGAATCTTGATCTTTAGGGTTGTATGACATCCGGACCGATTCTGGTTTCAGACTCCGTGTGATGTGTGAACATAAACCACGCAACCTAGATCGGGATTTGTAGACTTTTTGGAAGATGTTTCACATGCTTTTTAGGGGATCTGGCAGAAAGTAGTTTTCCTCCAGCAGGCGCGCTGACTGCTGAACGTAATTGGAAAAATATGCAGGATGAGAAACACACCAGGAGAGAAAGAGAGAGAGAGACAGAGAGAAGTTTATGTTTTTCCATAGGCTCATAAAACGAACCAATCACTCTGGCTCTCTGTTTAGTGAAAAACAGATAGATACATGTAAATAAATGCTCGTTAGTCTTAAGTCTTGGCTCCTGGTGGATGATCTGTAATGAAGAACATCAGTGGGTCAGGGTGGAGTCGCCGCGTGTCTTCTCTAGTAGATCAGAGATGCCCGAGGTGAAGCTCGCAATTATCTTGTAAACCACTTAGAAGGAATTACCCAGGAGACTATGTAAAACAGTTATTGTAGAGATGCATCACATACATTCCGATCTCATCTGCAATATGCCATTAGTAAAAACCCAAGATTTTTTTTTTAAATCGTGCATGCAATATGCATAAAAATGTGTTCATTTTTTTAGCACATAAGAGCCAACTTTCTATGGTTGCATCAGTTGTTTGACATCTGGTTTTAGTGTCACTTCATTACAAAGCTCTGTGTATCACACTCAGATTTGATAGTGTGGAGTTTATTAGTTGTGAACGTGAATCTGTGGTTTGTACAGTAACGACGGAGCCAAAGCAGACAGGATATGATCTCTCATTCTCATCCTCCTCGTTTCTCCAGCCTGTCCCAGGGAGTACCCCTCTCTCTCTTTCTCTCTCTTTCTTCAGGCTAGAGGGGGAGGGATAGAGGGAGGGGGGTTGGAAATTCTGCTCAACATGTGTGATTAGCTTCGTGTCTGGTCATGGCCGCTTGGCTGCTCGTTATAGTGATGGAATTATTGAGAACATTTTGGTCTAGGAGCGTCTCAAGAACATGCTGACTTACAGTATTTAATAGAGAATTAGTTTGGCAATGATGCCAAATCGTAGCAGATGCACTCTTAAAAATTCCAGCTAGAAGAGTTTTATAATCTGATCATATATTCACTTAATTATTGTTTAATAAAAATATTTGTATTTATTTAAAGAACCCAGAAAGCACAACACTGATCTGAAGACCCTATAATGAAACACGAAGAGGTTTTTAATCTCCAATAAACCATATAGCAACTCAAGAACCTTATTAGGCCATGGAAGACCTGGAATCTTAAAACAGACCTGGAAATGTAATAGAAATTACAATTTTCTAGTTATGTTCAGCTCTGAAATATTTAACAGAAATTGATTTTTATAAACATAATCATGAACATCTGGGAAAACCATGGAAATTCATTGGTCAAATGGTGTGAAAAAGTGTTTTTTTGCTGCACTTGAGAGCCATTAATTTTCAGCCAATTTAAGAGTCTATGGTAACTGTTAAATCACTCAACCTAATCACTTTTGCTTGAATGAGTCAAGGCTGAATTAATTGGAGCGATTCATCGACTTGATTGATTGTTTTATATATTAAGAACATCTGTCACTGAGCATCTGTTGAGTACATTTCGATAGAAACATGCTCATTAGAGTCACATCAGACTGAAATTTATTAGTTGTTTAGTTTGCTTCACAATCTAGCATGCTTTGGGCTGTGTTATAAATACAGCTGTGATCCCTATGTAGTGCACTTAATTTCTGAATGCTTCCAATTTTATTTAGAGCACAAGTGAAGCGGGATAATGCAGAAAAGATGGTGGACTTGATCCGCAGCCAGACTGGCAGGGATGCACAGCAACACTCACTGCTTCCACGACATGTGGTCTGACAATGATGTCATGCAGTGGGCGGGACTAACCGAATGGCATCTGTAGGTACAGAATGATGTGCTGAGTTTATGGTGGGACTAGCGGTGCATTGTGGGATACAGCAGCGCTGTTACGTCACAGTAGACAGAAGCTTGTAAAGTCAAAAATGGCTGATGGGGATGCTGCTGCACTTCCTGTGCAGGGCCATTCTGCTTTATTACCCACACTGTTTTATGAGAGTTTTACGAACACTCTCAGCGGACCGGCCTCGCTCATTCAGCCTGCTGGGTGTGTGCTTCACTTTTGAGAGTAAACGAATTTTTTTTAACAAATGGCATGTTGTAACGATTGTTTATTGCCCACGTGTGTTGTCTCTGGTTTTGGTTTCTCTTGTTGTTGTGTTCTGCAGACCCTTAAAACCATGAGAGGAAAAACTCTGGAACGTTTGGAGCCAAACTTTCACACCCTTGGAGCCTTTCAAAAATGTTTGTCGTGTAATGGGAGCAAGCTGTCCATTTCAGCCGTCCCAATTCTTCATTCAGAGTTTGATTCAGTGAGATTCGTAGAGAGGAATATTAAAGGAACACTCCACTATTTTTGAAAATAGGCTCTTTTTCCAACTCCCCTAGAGTTAAACGGTTGAGTTTTACCGTTTTACCGCACTTTTAGCTGTAGCTTAGCATAGATAATTGAATCTGATTAGACCGTTAGCATCTCGCTCAAAAAAGACCAAAGAGTTTCTATATTTTTCCTATTTAAAACTTGACTCTTCTGTAGTTACATCGTGTACTAAGAAGTAAACTACCTAAATCATAGTATATTGAAATTAGTATGTCAGTAGTGACTGATATAGCATGCAATATTAAAATTAGTGCATATCAAATCATGTTTTTAAAAATGTTTTTAAAATGGTATGTCACAGTGACTGGATTGTGTACTATTTACAATGGATTTTACAAGTATGCATCAGTCTCATGCTCGCCATATTAAATAGTATGCCAGATTAAAGCATACTATGTAAATATAATGACTGGATAACATAGTATGCAGGGATGCATCCATTCACATGCTATCTATCTTACACAACATGCAATATTAATATGAGTGCACCTCTCAAAAAAATAGTATGTTGAATATGTATGCATGGGTGGTACAATTTACAGTGGGTTTTTGAAGTATTTGTCATTTTGCATAGTGTCTATTGTATCAGTGTTGACAAAGTTTTGAAGTGTGCATCTGTTCACACACAATGTCTTTTATAGCATGTAAATAATATTAGTGCATCTCAGTGTTGAAAATAGTATGTCGATGCTGCATATATGCTTCTTTTTCCATACTATCCATCTTATACACTATGCAAGATAAAGATTGGCATGTCCCAAATCATAGGAAATGGTCAAAGGTGTCCAGATAGCATACTACATACTTCAAAGTATGCATATTTTCACTTACTATCAATCTTATGTAGTATTCAATATTAGAATTAGTGTATTCCAAGTCATAGTACTGTATGCTGAAATAGGTTTGAAGCATGCATAATGCATAGATGGAGGCTTTTTGCAAACTTGTATCAATACATAATTTTATGATAATGAAGTGTGTATGTTGTGCTGGCTTGCTTCATATTTAAAAGCATGAGCTTTTCCTTTGAAAGCACAGTATGTACTTTTTTAAAGTTAGTAGAAGTATGTGAATAGTTACCGTGTCAGCAGTTATGATTTTGGGTGTGTTACGGAAGACTAGACCAGACCAGCCCAGCCCTCGACCCTGTACTAGCCTTCAGTGTGTAGGAGGTCCAGCTCTGGGATCACAGGACAGAAATGTTGAAAGTTTTGTTCTGTATTAGACAGTGCTGTTTTTGTGGCCAAATGTAGAAGTAAGTTTTTTTCCCCCTCTTGGTTTGTGTGGTTTGGGCTTTATAGTGTGTGTTTTAGAGTCACATTGTTTTATGATTGCAAGCGTTTCAAGTCTCCCTTCAATCTAAAGCCGCATTTGGGAGGGTGATAGTTGGTGAAACCTTCATGGTCGGAGTTCACACACTATAAAAACCAGATATTGCCTCTTTCAGACGTGAGGACCAAACCCTGACCCACATGTCTGCTGGGTTCAAACACACATAAAGTTCACTGGAGTTGCTGGACTTCATTATATTTATCAAACACACTGAAGACAAGAGAGCAAATTAGACTTTTAAATTAAATTGCAGTGGAGATACATACGTTATTTACAAAATGAATAAAAACATAAATTATAATATTATGTATTATAAAAATAAAAATTATAAAAACTTTTATTGTAGTGATTCAGTTCAGATTCACGAAACTATGCGATAATTGCAAAGATCTACAGCTGAAAAATAATGTATTTAAAAAAAATTTTAAATTGAGTGATGAGTCAAATGAATCAGTGAATCA